GATGAATCTCAAATGTCCTGGAATCTTGATTTGGTTTAATCTGGAGAATTTTAATTAATATCCGAAATCTTAAGAATTTGTCTGTCCGTTATCCATATAGGGTAGATTTATCAGTCATGACTCTATGGTTCCTATTATGGATAGTAAGAAACGTATAGCCATAACTGGTACATAAATCCTGAATAGTTTATAAGGGATTGGCGTGCATCTATCTACTTGTATTAATTTTTTTAAATGTATGGGCATTCGGCAGTCGTGGATGATTTAGTAGATCATTTTATCTGAACTTTAAAACGATTTGGAGAACCTAGCACATGGACATGTATGGAAAATGATACGAATAAATAATAATAATAATAATAATAATAATAATAACATCAAATTGCATCACGGAAAAAACGCTGTAGAAAATTACCCATTGGGTATTTTCTCTTGAAAATTTGGATAGAAGTAGTTGTGTTGTTAACACTGTATTTTTTATCGCTGTCAGTTTTTCATAAGTTGGAAAAAATGGCGTCACCCGAAAAGCAAACACAAGAATTGATTTTGTGCAAGCACCTGTAAAATCCTCAACTCTCTCATCGGGACAACGGGAAAACAACTCGGAATCGTGCAGTCAATGGTGAGTCGTATGATTAAACGTTACTACGAAACTCTGAGCATCGAACGGAAGGAGAAATGCGGTCAGAATGGATGTTCTATTAGTGATCAGGATCACAAGCGTTTCGTGAAAGCGTTTAAGCGGAATCCCAATGCTTCGGTCAGGGATGTTGCCAAAAAGTTGAATCTGTCCAAGTCTTTCGTTCAGAGAGCCAAGGGTAGGGAGGAACTGCATACGTACAAAGTGCGGAAGGCTCCAAATCGTGACGAACGGCAAAATACCGTAGGAAAATCACGGGCCCGGTGACTGTGTGACGAAGCCTCATTGTCTCATCATGGATGATGAGACTTACGTCAAGGCGGACTTCGGGCAGCTTTCGAGGCTACTGTTCATCACCGCGATGTTCCGCAGGAAGTGAGGAAGCAGAAACTTTGAAAGTTTGCCATGAAATACATGATTTGGCAAGCGATCTGCTCATGTGGCAAACGGAGTACGCCGTTCGTGCCTACCGGGACTTTAAACGGATAGATCTACCTCAAGGAGTGTCTACAAAAGCGTCTGCTTCCTCTGTTGATGCAACACAAGTGCCCTACGATCTTCTGGCCGAATCTAGCTTCGTGCCACTATTCAAATGTTTTCCTGGAGTGGTACGAAGCCAACGGGGTCACTTTCGTATCCAAGGACAAGAACCCCCCAACGCACCAGATCTAAGGCCCATCGAAAAATACTGGGCTGTTATGAAGCAGGCACTACGGAAGCATCCCAAGAGGTCAAATCTGAAGAAGACATGAAGAAAAAGTGGGTTTCCGTACAGAAGAAGCTGCGGCCAGATGTTGTACAGAACCAAAAGCTTCCTAATGGGTTATATTTTATTGTCTGAAAGTTTGAAAAGGATCGGTCAACTAGGTAATTTTCTATAGCGTTTTTCCGTGATGGAATTTGATGTGGGACCCCCTTTAGACTGTATGAATCTGCTTTGACATGTTTAGATGCTATTGACATTGTCTCAGTCGTAGTTGAACTTTATGATCATTTGATGTGATCTCCAAGGCGATTTGGAGAACCTAGCACATCTGATATACATAGAAAGGGATCATAAATTATGACGTATCGAATCAATGAATCTACTTGGACATGTTTCGGTCAATTGGAAGTTTCAAACCCATAGATTCGCAAACCAGGAAACGAAATGAGGGAGATTATCTCGGCTGAAGGATTCCCCACTCACAAAGCTTGCCAAATAGCTAGTAAACGAATTTCAAAATATGTCTAAGCACTTTGCCACTCGCTCAGTTAACAGCACACAGGAATTTGCAAATCAACTTCAGACATCTTGAGAGATTCTGGTAGATGAAGTCATGGTTTCATTTGATGTCACAGCACTTTTTCCGAGTGTGCCAAAAAAGGAAGCCATTTAGAGGACTTGCTTCTGAAGCAACGTGAGGATTCTACTAGGAAAAACAAAGTTCTGTCATATCTCAAGCTTACTCGTCTTTGTATGGAGGAAAACTATTTCGATCCGCTTTCGCCATTTTTATGTGAATTGTTCATGGCTAAGCTTGAAAATATTCTGGAGGATAGGAATTTGTTGCCCAATTGTTGGTAAAGGTACGTGGATGACAGTTTTAGCATTGTCAAAAGGGAAGATTTATCAAAAATTTTGGAGGCCATAAGCAACAAGGACATCAAATTTACTCACGAAGAATAGAAAGACGGCAAACTCTCCTTCTTAGGTCTTCTCATCATCAGGAAACGGTTTTGTTCAATTTCGAAATCTATAGGAAACCAATAAATACAAAGAGAGTAATACCAAGTTCTTCAAATCGTTCCTATCGACAAAAATGGCCTTTCCCCACATGGTTCACAGGAAGCAAACTCTTCCTCTAAGCGACACTGGCAAATCAAAGGAAATAGCTCACATTTTTGAAATCGCTAGACCTAATGTGTATCAAGAAAAAACAATTCAGGCAGTAATCGATAAAAGAACAACCCAAGTAACAACTCAAATTGAATTATAAGAACAGAAGTAGATTATGGGTTTATGGTAGTGCATAAAGCAAATTGTATCCCCATAATTCAACCTCAGTAAGTTAGCTGATCTAAAGACAGAACAAGATTTTGCCAAAAATATGCTTATGTGGTCGAGTGGGTATAGTTGACGCCTGTGAATCAGTGACTGCCGGTTTGAGCCCCGAAATGTAAAGGTAACTTTTAGGCATATAATAACAATATAAATATGTAAATCCAATTTATCAGCAACATTCTAAAGCAGTATCATAAAAAGGATTAGATATGAAGCGGTCTTCCATTTTTTAAAAAATAAAACAAGAAGGCTGAACAAGGGTTAGAAAAGACTGTTGGTTAATGCCTTAAAAAGCTTAAAATTTATATTGCTGTTAAGGTTTGAGCTGATTAAAATCACCAGATTTAGATGTTTAAAAGCTGAACAAAGGTTAAAGTGGTCTATGTACAACAATTATTCAAACTAAGACTGAATTAAAATCGTTGGAAGAACATTTGTTAAGCATCAATTTGTTACCTGGGAAGGGACCATTTTAGGCATACTTTGACAACTCTTACACCAGTAACTGAGGGATTAAAACGGGTGGCGGAGAATTTCGACAAAAAACATTACCATTGAGTTCGAAGTTTAGAAGTTTTGGTCTAGATTTAGTATTCAGCAGCAATCAGTTGAAGTCACTGTTAGGATCAACAAAAGATTCAATAAATATTTTAAGAAAAGCCGGTGTCCACAAAATCTCTTGTCCAGATTGTATTAATATCTACATTCGTCAGAAGAAAAGCACTTTGGAAACAAGGCTTAAGGAACGCATAGCAGAGGTAAAAAGGCTAACAAAGAGATAGATAAATGACTTCATTATGAATTTAAATCTAAGGTTGCAGAACATATATTTACAAAGGGGCACAATTTAACAAAGTATAATTTTATTATTCTGCGGAGCGTATCTTCGCCTTGGAAACTAGACATAGCAGAGAGTTTAGAAATATTTAAACATAATCCATCAACATTGCTTAATAGAGATCAAGGAAAGGGATACTCGAGACTCTTTAGCATGCTCTTCATAAAGGGATTCCGTTAAGAGGTTCGACAAAATTAAAAGACATGTTTCGTCGCTAGGGCATTGTTCCATTCTTGGTTGATCTAATAGATTGAATGATCTTATCTTCAGGACGATTTGAAGAGCTTAGAACATTTTATAAACAAAGGATTATGATCGTAATTGCTGCGGGTAAGATCTATGAATATGTTTGGATATGTTTTGTTGCTAAGAATATTTTGAACGATTTATGGCCATGAGAATGGATCTAGATTTTATGAACATGACTTAGTTCTATAGGGAAGACCAGTTCCCAGATGATTTAAGCGATGTAAACAAGAATAAGCATTCCAGGATGGTCTAGGACATCCCAAAAAAATATTTTTTCCAATGATATTTCTATCCGTACTTAAATGTAAAGGAAAAAGTCGTCCCGAAAGGGTTAAATCTTAAATTTTGTAGAATATTCGCAGTCTGAAATATTTTCGTTGCCTGAGAATACGATTTTTTTTTCAACTTTAAAAACCTCCGTCTTGGACTTACAAACATATCTTACTTTTGGGTCTAGAAAAAAATGTTATGTCAGCTTATAACATTTCTAGATTCCACTCACAATATTTTTCCAAACTCTGAATAATTATTCTCTTAAATAATTACAGCGGGCAATCTAATCCCCTTTCCTATACCTTTTGGTAACGTCCATGGAACCAACATCATCACGAATATCAAGAAGACTTTCATTAACTCAGTGTAAACTGCAAACAGAATTTCCCAAATCTAGTTTCATTTTAGTTAAATACAAAACATACAAAATAAATGTTGTGCCTTAAGCAACATTTCTATGTCTCATGGTGCATATCCGCACAGATCTTTAGTATATTTTGTTACTATGGCACTCCATTTTTTTTTTGTCCAGGAGCATTATAAGATTTAAATAAATGAATCATGCAATCTCTTCATTGCATAGCATTGACTTTTTCTTAATTGAAAGCAATATCTCAACTCTCCATCTCAATGTCAAATACTATTCACCATAATCACTTGAGCCAAACAAGTGATTGCTTTTTTCCTACGTGTAGGCCGGTGATACTTAACCTTAGTCATAAAGAAGACCACTCAATTTTTTTTCGATCGGCTATGGGTCGTACAGTTTTTGTAGTTCTGTCCTTGTCTGTGCATTTGCCGGTATTTGAAGCATTTGTAAAAAAAAAAAAAACGTGCGTCAATCTCTGACGCATTTCTAATTGTTTCTCGTTCTGTCCAATATTAAGGTTTCGTGACTGTCTTCATATGAATTGCATTACTCTACCATACTTCACACCCTTCCACAAGGTTCTTACCGGGAACTCCTTCCTCGCAGTTTTCCATAATATCCACCAGCATTAAGTTCACATAATTCCGTTGACCGTACTCAACAATCGGGTCGTCTCGCCTTATCAGTCTCCAGGCTCGTTCTTGATTTACACTTCTCGACCTGTTGTTACGATCACTATTGGCACTGGCACGATGAACATTGGCATTGGTTTCTTCGTCTTCCTCGTCAAACTTTGCGCCTAAACCTTGCTCCAAAATCGATGCACCACTTTCTAACTTCTTGAAATTATCGATAAACTCAGATCCACTCAGTGACAAATACCACGAGGATGAGTAGCCAACAAGCCAGTGCAATAACTGACGCCCAAAGTGATCAGTTATTGGATCGGACAGTGCATCAACCATTGCGTTTTATCGGTTTTGGAATGCTTGGAGAACTTTTGTTATTATGAACCGTTTTCGTTTTTTTTTCTTTATCACATTCGCATTCACTACCACTTGATTGTCGTGAACATATTACCAAATTGCCTTTCGTATCAAGCTGATCACTATCACAAATTTACAATCTTTTAGACACAATTTTCACTTGCTCATTTGCTGTCGCCTTCGATGCTTATCTCTGTTCTGTTTTTGTGTAGGAGTTGGTTTGTTTCTGTGTTTGCTTATTTTTGGATCCGTCTACCACACTTGGTTTCACATTACAATCATCTTCAACGTATTCCTTTCTGCGCCTTTGACTTCAAAGTTTGCTACAATGATAAGAGAATAGGAAAAATTAATACATTTGGTATGCCTAATTTCTGCGCCGAACGATTCGAAAATTGTCTTAGTATATACAAATGAGCACGTATTGAGTGGATTCTTATCGTACAATGGTTGGTGTTTATTCAAATTTGCAACGTGTACTGACTCGCTGTTCACTCTAGTGAATCTAAGTACTTGTCGTCGGTAGCATGTAACTGGTTATCTTGTATACATTTTCGCAATAATTGACACAAAATTATTCAAACACAGTGGTGAGACTGAATGCGTAAGGACTAACACAAAATGTATTATTAATATTTACAAGCAGAAGTTCACTTTCCCAGTGTCCCGGCGACAATCGAGTCGAAAGCAATCACCCCTGGATGACCCATTCCGGCCTTGCAACGATTGCATCAATTATTACGAAGTGAACCTTGCCTAACGCAACTAGTACTCACTAGCAGCGAGTTAGTGCTAAATTTTGCAAATTACCAATGAATAAGTAATACCCATTCGATCGTTTTTTTTATTGTCTGTGCTGATGACCACTACCAGACCGGCACTTTGTACTGAACTGCTGCTACTGCCGATGGCCGACACTCATTGGGGCCTTGTGCTATGAGTAAACAAGACAATGTCGATGTCGTAGGCAAAAACCGTACCAGAACTTTGTGCGAGTATGGGTACGCGATTTCCGTTAGATGATCGATTGAAGAACTGAACGTTGTTTTTTTTTCTTAGCTGTGAAATACGTCTCCCACCACGAACCGTATGGGACCGACTACTCAGCGTTACTGGTAGCTTTTTATTTATCATCGTCATACGTGGTAGGCAAATGAACAATGGTGGTGTTTGATTAAAAAATGATTATCATTCACATTTTCCCTTCTGTTTGTTAATAATTGGTCTAGAAATAATTTGTCATTTGCGGTCTTTTGAACTATGAAACTATGATTATTATCAAACAGTTTTTGTTTTTATATAAGCAACAGAGGGGGAAGGGGTGTATGATCGCTCAAAATGCGTCGACATAGTTTTAGTTTTATTTGTTCTACCATAAATGAAGCGTTACTCCAAATTTTAAGTATGGATTGTTTTAAAAATGCACATCGCTTATTTTGGGTGCAGAACACTCTGAAACATAATGGCAACAATAACAAATGTGCAGCGGTCATTCATAAAAAAAAGTCCGAGTTGATGAGTTGTTGCCTTCTTATAAAAGTAACATTTTCATTTGGTGGAGGAATGAACCAAATATATATATATATTTCGCTTTTTGCACCACTTTAGACTCCTCCGCAAAAAATGATTACGCAGAAATATTTTCGCACAAGCCTATATTTTTAAAAATCGACTTATTTGAAAGCAGAGCAGCTTTAGAACAGTACTGGCAAGCTAAACTAATGCAGGGCTGTTACAACAGGTGCGGATTTCGCGTGTTTCGCGGATTCGAACTTTCAGTCGCGAAAATCGCGGAAACATTAAATGATGTCGCGAAAATTGTGGAATTCATTGTAACCTTTCCGTCCCGGATTATTTTGCTGTCATCAATTTTGTTGTTCATTTGGCTCTCAAATTTTTACCGGTTCAAACCAAACACCCTGCAAATAATCTAGAAATGATCTCAATTCCATAAGTCACACCAGATTTACACGGTAATTCCCTGGGATCTGTCCAATGTGAGACATTTATTTTATTTCCAACATGAACATAGCATTTTTCGTTGTCAAATCATAAACGAATCGTATATATGCGAGTAATTGCCATGTATACCGGATATTCTAGGTTCGCCAAATTGTCCTGGAGTTCAGTTGATTTGTACTACTACACACTTAGAAATTCCTAATCTTACACGTGACGGAATCCATCTTTGACATAAAGGATGAGACGTAAACAAACATGTCATGTAAAATTAAGTGCTCCGGGACTGAAAAGTTCGAAAGTACGTTTGATTGAGCTGAATTTTATGTCTATTATGACTCAATTTTATGTCAAAATTGACGCTCGTATATGTCAGTCTCAGAGCACCTAATTTTACATTATTTTTTATAAGTGTGTATACCAACCAAGACTGCAATAATGTATGAAGTATCGAACGATGTCTAAACAGATTCAAAGTGTCTATGTGGATCGTGCCCTAGCTATTGCTACGTATACAAGATGTTATAGGTTCTGAAATCATTCTGGAGATCAGATTATTTTTCTACTAGATCACCCAAGACTAATTCAATATATGTAGTATCGAAATATGTTCAAACAAATTTTCAGTGTCTATGTTGATCATGCCAACCCATTTTCGTGTATGCCAAATGTTCTAGGATTTCCATATCGATATTTCGATACTACAGATATTATCCCAGTCTTTGTTGATCTAGTAAAACAAATCATCTGAACTGCAGGACGATTTGGAGAACCTAGATCATCTGGTATACGTGGAAATAATTAAAAATTATCCATATAAGCACTATGAATATGTTTGGACTATTTCGATACTACAGACTTTATCCCAGTCATGGTTAGAATAAATCACCTGAATTCCAGAACGATTTGGAGAACTTGAAACATCTGGTATACATGACAATATTTCATGCATGATCCACATAGACACTGTGCATCTGTCTGGAAATATTTCGATGCTAAAGACATTGTCCCAATCTCGGTTGATCTAGTAGATCAAATTATCTGAACTCCAGGACGATTTGAAGAACCTACAACATCTGGATTACTCGGAAATAGATCATGCATGATCTACATAGACACTTTGAATCTGATTGGACATTTTTTGATACTACAAACACTATTGCAGTCTTGGTTGATCTAGTAGAACAAATCAACTGATGTCTTGGACGATTTGGAAAACCTATAATTTCCGGTATACATAGTAATAAGTCGTGCATGATCCACAAAGTCATATATATACGATTCGGTTATGATTTGACAACGAAAAGTGCTAGGTTCATATTGGAAATAAAAAAAAAAAAAACCGCGACGTGACCAACAAGTGTTACTTATAAAACTCAGGTAATTTCTCGATTATTTGCAGGGTGTTTGGTTTGAATAGGTAAAAAATTGAGAAAACTAGAGCCAAATTAACTAGGGGAAATGACGGCTTCGGCATGACAGACTATTTTCGGCAACCCAAATTGAAACACTATTTTCACTGGATTTTCTTACGAAAACTTATCGCTGAATGCATGCAAACGATTTTTTATGCTTTCAGATTCAATTTGACTATATTTCTACCACTGAGAAAAAGCAATCTAGCAAAGTTTTCTTGAAATGCAACACACGCACTACAAATTGTAGCTGATTTCGAGTTGCCGATAATAGAACAGCAGATTTACATGCAGTTCAAATGGAACGGTTGCCGAAGAAAAACTGGTTGCCGACAATACTCGCTCTCACTAGAGAAGATTGGAGCTTTGTAAATGCGTTTCAAAACAGTTTTTGACAATACTTTCGAATGAAATTGTTAAAGCAGCTTGCAGCAAAAGATTGTAACCAAACCAATACTGCATATGTGTGAGTTCCTTAACGAAAAAGACTATAGAAAGATGATCGCTGCTTAGGTTGCCGAGAATACGTAAATTCGAGTGTACCCCATTAGGCATAAATACGTTAGGCATACGGACGTTAGGCATACGGACGTTAGGCATAATGGACGTTAGGCATAAAGTCATTAGGCATAATGGACGTTAGGCATAATATACGTTAGGCATAATGGACGTTAGGCATAAAATACCTTGCTGCTGTGCAACTCTAGAAACCTGCTTAACCTGTAAACCTGTAAACAATGCTTAAATTAGGCTTAGCGTTGAATAAAAAATGATACAAGTTAAACAAACATAGTTTATTTAATAAGCACAGTTTGGAATCCATTATTTATCATATCATAAGTGACGTATCTACATATTTACTTAGATCCATGATTAGTAGTGATAGTGGTTAAGTAATCTTACAATGAAAACTCCGCTTAGTTTTGAACTATATCTTGAAATCAATCGCATCTAGAAATAAAAAAATCAAACATTTGTTGTAATATATTCTTACACACATATTGCAAAAGTCAAAGAAGAAAATGTTTTCCTCAAAGAACAGCTCATGAAATAAAGAATGGTGAATTCTGTGATTTTTCATTCAATAACAAAAAAACAGCCAAGGTTGAATAAAATATGATGCCAAAGAACAGCTCATGAAATCAAGAATGGTTAATTCTGTGGTTTTTCATTCAATAACACAAAAACATACCTGCTGCTTCCAGGATTTCTTGCCATACTTTTCGATACAACGATTCTGATTTTGTTGTCATCAGAATGAAAACTAGCGGAACCGTCTGCTGATGTGAGGGAGCGATACTTCCATGAACAGTGACGAGTTGCCGAAACAAACAAGGAACTGTGGCAAACGTACCATCTGTAACCCAATACTTTGCCTGTCCAAGACGTCGTTCATGAGTTCCAAAAATTAAGGCTCTTTCATTATTGTCACCGAAGTCAGCAATCAATAGACGGTCTCCATTATCATCCTTCTGGAATTCATCCGGTAGATTATGCCTAACGTCCATTATGCCTAACGTCCTTTATGCCCAACGTCCATTATGCCTATCGTACATTATGCCTAACGTCCGTATGCCTAACGTACGTATGCCTTACGTCCGTATGCCTAACGACCGTATGCCTAACGACCGTATGCCTAACGTCGTGCACCCCGTAAATTCCCCTACAACATTTAGGACAGCAAAATTCGTCAGAATCGCAAAGGTTAACTTTCAAGAAAATTTGCATTTCAAATGAAAATGCACAATTTTTTTAAAAATAATGTTTCCTCAAATCTAAGCAGGTATTATTCAATAGAATCTCATAATGTAAGGGTGTTTTATTACGTTCACTAATTACTCAGAATTTATACTATACATAAATAACTGAAGATGATGCATTGTTATTTTTTATTTTTATTTTTTCAAAGGTTACAAACGATTATCCTTTAGCTCAGTCGATAAAGGCGCAGCTACAAAGCAAGTCCATGCTGGAGGTGACTGAGTTCAATTCCTGTCCGGTCTATTAATTTTTCGGGTTGGAAAATTTCTCTACTTCCTTGGGCAACACTGAGTTGAGATCAGGCAAAAATCTTGAAATACCATGTAAGTAGTATATAAATGGTATTTTTAGGCAATGAAAACAGTTTGCCTTTCCATACGCAATCGTCTAGGTACGTACGTCATTAGCACTCTAGTAAACTGGTTCAATGGTCTTTATGCCAGACATTCATCCGACGAAACGTCCGCATGCCAAATGGGGTTGGCTTCCTGTAAAAACAGAATATTTTTCATATTTCCAGATCATGAGCTATGTTGGCGTAACGTACCCAAGATTCCCGAAATCATGAATCATCCGAGTTAAAATCATGAATTTAGCTTTTAGCTTTCAAACCAAAATATGTAAAAAATAAAATAAAGCATCAGACTGGATTCGAACCAAGAACCTTACGATCATTAAACCCATACTTTGACCACTAGGCTATCAGTACTTGCATAAGATGGATGACAAAAGGCGTATAATAGATACATATGATCTCAGAAAAGCTAGATCTAGAGATCTTTGGGGAATTCCGGAGATCTTAAGGGGAAGTTCCCGAAACTTTAGCCCAGACTATTGAATTGGTTTAAAAATCATGAGCGTGAGTTTCAGTTTCAAGATAGTTCCATGAGGCTCTGAAATAAAATCAAGAACCCATAACATGTTCCGAA